GCATAGCCAAGATCTGACTGTATTTTAAACAATAAAAATTCCCATAAACACATAAACAGCACCTTACACAACAAATGCAAAAGTCAACCTGGAAAGCAGTTTATGGGGCCACCCAAACTTACTGTCACCAAGCCAAGTTTTAAATCTTTGCAAAAGTAGATGAGACTGAAAGTTAAACCCTGCTAGTTAAACCCAAGCTTAGCAAAGCAAGCAAGAGGAGGGAATGGCAGTTTCAACTTTTAGGAGTTTGTTTTTGTTTTTTTTAAATATTCATCTTGGGTTTTACTAGCAAGTGTCCATTTATCTTCCTTGCTTACTTAAAGATAAGTGTTTCAGAAGAACAATTACACACAGAAAATAAATTTTCTATGGACAATAGTGACATCTGTTGTGAAATACATGCCCTTAGCACGTGCAGACAACAGACAATGTCACAGATCTCTTTGTATTCAGCAAAGACATCAAAAATTCTGACCTCTGGATTCTAAAAAAGAACAACTAGTACTCATGAAAGATGGAAGGCAGCCTACCAAGAGGAGCACTATCCAAATTAAAAACAGAAATTTAGCTAATCTTCAACTTCTCCAATAAAATTTATTTCAGTGCAGTAACATGATAATGGTCTTCAAAATGCATTTTTAACTGTCCATGATAGTTTAGGAAGGTATTTTACAATGCACCCAGCATTTCCAACACATATGTACACTTCAGCACTGACTGTTAACTGAACTTACTCTAATATACATGATCATATGTATATGTGAAGGACACAAGACTATGAAACTATAATCTAGTAAAGGGTAAAAAGAGAGACAGAAACATGTATGCAGGTGAGACTTTCCCAGGTCATTTACAAATCTGTGAAGGTAAGGATGTAGATGAACCTTCCCAACCCTGGGTAAGTTCTACTCCAAATGCTACCTGTTTCCAGAAAACCTGAGATTCAGTGCTTAATTATATCCTGCTGCCTCATCATCCTACACATGCACGTAATGGCAGCACAAACTGAATGGATTGTTACTTTCACATGAGACCTACATCATCCAGCAGCTTCCTTGCATGACAGACTAAAATAACCCAAGGAGCACTAAAGAACCTTTTAAAACTAAGTTCCAGGCCCCTTCAGTTGGTAGTTTCAGAACTCCAAGCACCACTTGCACACTTTTCTTTGAAGCACGTACTAGTACACACCCACATCATATTACATTACTTGCAGTCTGGAGTTTTATAGAAGAGTTGCTTGACTCCAAATTTGTAGTTGAATTAGCAGCTTTTATACCAGCAGGGAATTATGGTTTGCCTAGCTTGGTCCTATGAAACCACCTTTCCAGGCAGGCAAATCCACAGTCCACATTCTGACACAAAGCACTAGCAAGTTTTGTTCAGTCTACTGAAGACTTTATGTTCAGATGAGGATCTTTTGCCCCCCAAGACCTTTCATGGATTATGCAAACACAGTGTGTTTACAGTAAAGTTTCCTAGACTGTAATATGACTGAAACCCAATACAGAAACAGCAGTGGAGGTAACTCACTGGAAAGCAGCTTCTGAATCTAATCCTTCTGACAGCTTGCTGCCTAATGCTTTCTGCAAGCGGACAATTTTAAGGATAAACTCATTCCTTACACAGATTAAGAGTTGTTGCTATGCAAATAAACAATATGAAGTTCTAAATTAGCTCTATTACATTAGGTGACTAAAGAAATGCTATGTTTTCTACACAGAGAGAATATCTTTCAGAAAGTACAATGTTACATGAAAAAAAACACATTAGACTCAACTGTTCTGTATTAATCCAGACACAACCTGGTGAATCATCAAACACAGGATACTACAAGTATCAGGCTTAATTTCATCCCTATTAAAAAGCTGAACAGCATCTATAATTCAGATTGCAATACTTGATTCATATTTTGCTTCCTTATCTTCTAAGAGACCACAAAAATGGTCATACTAGAAGGATCTCATCTTAACACCTGCTCAGAGGTCAGCCTGTCACAGTAACATGCACCAGGAATGTTGCAGGCTTTTTTCCTAAGAATTTGCAAACCAAAAATAAATGATGTATAATCGGAATTAAGTGCAACAGCACAGATTTATAAAAAAATACACGGAGATTAAAAATTACAAAAGGATGTTATTAAAGACTCTTTAAATAAAAGATTCTTAAAATTAAAGATTCTTAAACACAGTATAAAAAGCAGAGCTGAAATTTGTTTGCCTGTTGTACAGGAATACCATCTTTCTGGTCAGCACTTGCTTGTTTTTCAAATATTTCAATAGCATCTTATACAGACAATGTAAATAGTGGATTTAGGGGAGGAAAAAAATCAAAAAATGAAATAAAAAAAGCCTGGATTAGTAAAAACTCCTAGTTAGAATATCTGAAATACTAATAATAAGCAACATTTTACTACAGTCATGCAACTGTGAAAAAAAAAAAGACTTTAATGGTTGAGTTTCGTATTAATCAGACAATTTCAGTGAAGACCAATCAACTAAATATTCAGACTGAAAAAAAAGGTGTTGATTTGAAGATGTGTAAATCCTGTCATGATTTTTAAAAGCTACCTTTGTATTTAATAACCACTAAAAAAAAATCCAAAAAAACCGTAAAGTCAGACTTTGCCAGAGTTAACAATAAATTGAATTTAATTCTAAATTACTATTTTATTAATGTTTTATCACTAATGTTGTTGCTATCCAAAATAAAGCAATTTCTTAGGAATAAAAAGTCTGTACTCCTTGCTTAAGGTGGCAAAGAAGCATCCAGTTGAAGAGGAGTCTCCCAACAGATGAGGAGCTTGATGGACAGAGCACAACACATGCATCCTACTTCCAAAACTATGAAATGCTATGAAAATTTCAGCTCAGCTTTCACAACCAGTTGCCCCACATGTGAAATAAGGATGATAACTACTTTTCTCTGAAAAGCTTTTTATAGCTAGACATAAGCACTTCTCTACTCAAGACATACATATTGCCACTTCTGAATTAGGCATCTGACACAAAACCAGACAATGGACCACACTACATTTACAATCATCAACTACATTTTGTTGTGCCACAACTGGAAAAATTTTATTTCAGTAGGACTCTGTTAATTAAGACCACGTCTGATATTTTTCAAGTTCATGAAGCCCTCCTATATACTTAGGTGATACACACAATCTTGTATTTCTTCTTTTCTGCTTCAATTGATTTTAAATCCACATTGTATTGTTTTCCCACTAAGGCCCCAATCACACAATCAGATCCACAGGAAAAGGTTTCAGTGAAGCTGTAGGATAGAAATCACTGGGATGTGTGGCTTGGAGGGATCTCAGTTTACAAGACATGAGATGTAGGCTGTACAGTCTAGAGGGCTTGTTTTATAATCTGTGTAAAACGCAGGAGCCATGCTTGGAGGGATCTGAATGATACTCAAGACAGATCAAGCTACTGAAATAAAGTACAGCAGAAACACAAGATTAATATCAATGTCTAATTCTACGGATGACATGCAGGCTGGATATAAATTCAGTTTAACAATAAAAACCCAAATGTTTCTCTGTTGTACTTCTAACTTGAATGCACAGTCTAATGCCAGTGGAAGGGCCAAAGGGTTACCAGTTTTATCCCATCTGCATAAATCATAACACTATTGTTAACCATTCTAGTGACAAGTCAAAAATGTAAGACATAAACTCTTTCTCATCAATTTTAATTTTTAAGAAATAAATAGTCGAACTACGATTATTTCTACCCCTCCAGCTGTCAGGGTCTTTCACAGACAAAGAAAACATGATGATTGTTCTTTTTTGGCTATTTTTTTTAAAGTACTAAAAAAGACAAAATAGAATGAAAAAAAAAACCAGCATGAAATTACTTATATTAATTTTTCAAACAAGTGACTTTCAGCTTCATGTTATCTCTTGAAACAAATCCATTTAAATGAATATTATTCCTGTACAAAGTCAAGATAATTATCTCCAAATTCAGAAACAATTACATCAGAAAGGGAGAGATATAATCCATTTATGTATTATTTAAATAAAACAGGTCTTTCTCCAGAAGTCTTTCAGTAAATATGTCAATGTTTTGCCACACAGGTTCAAGCCCTGCCTGTAATCATGTCTGAACTGTGAAGCCCAAGCTGTGCTTTTACACTGCCTGTTATTGGATGTGTACATGTGCTTTGTACTATCCAGCACTGGTACTTCCCTCACGCTCCCTGACGAGATGGTGCTGACACAGCTGAACTAAAAACCAAACACACCTCCTTCGGCCCGAAGCAGGCAAACGTTCCCACTTCTTTGGAACCCAACAACATGGGGGGCTGGACTTAATCTCCAGGAGTCCCAACCCTAACAATTGTGTGATCTTCAGTGGCCGCTCCAGCTCTGACATGCACTAAGGAAGCCCCCTTCCCCATCAGCTATTTCTGCACCAGGAACGCTCTCCCTGACACATCTCCCGGACCATCCCCTCTCTAGCTTTCCTTCCGGCTCCGAAGGGACACCAGCTCCAGACGTGGCTTGGTGTCATTGTCTCTGCTCTCCGCCACCCCCGCTTCCTCACCCGTCCCTCCTCCCTCACCGCTGCCTGTCACCTGCTCCCTCCCCGCCGGCCGTCTGCTTCCAGGTCAGCTCTGCTCAGCTCAGCTCCGTCTCTGCCTATTCATCCTGCGAGCGGGGAGGAGGAGAAGGAGGAGGAGGACCCGCCGGGCGCCGCAGCGCCCTCGCCGCCGCTGTCAGCGCGGGGCCGCTCCCGGCGATGCTCGCCCGCAGCCCACGGTACACACACACCGCTTCTGGGGCTCTGCAGCACGACCCAGACCTGTGCCACGGCTCAGCCCGCAGCCTCACCTTCCCCGACCCTTCCCCGCCGGGCAGCCCCTCTCCCTCGTCCCCCCAGAGGATCCATAGCCCCCCGCAAGGCAAACACGCACAGGCAAAGCGGGCCCCGGAGCGCACCCCGACCTCTGGCCGCCCCTTCCCTCCCGCCCGGGCTGCGCCTCACCTAAGGCCACTTCGCAGGCTTTGCGCAGCTGGGAGTGATGCGCCTTCTTCACCTCCTTGTCGGCCAGGATCTTCTCCAGGGCCCGGGTCAGAAACATGTTTTTCGTCTTCTTCCCTTCATACATGGGCGCGATCGAGCCGTGAGAAGAGGAGGCGGAGGAGGAGGGTGGGGTGAGGAAGAGAGAGCAGGGCACCGGCCGCTCCCGCCGGGAGCGCTGCCAGGGGCCGCGGCGGGCGCGGGGGAAGGGCTCCCTCGGAGGGCGTCCCGACACCCGCTCGGCGGCTCCCCCGGGGGGAGGCTGGGGTGGGCCCGGGCAGCGCCGACAGCCAACCCCCGCGGCTGAGGGAGGACGAAGCCTTCTCCTCCCTTCTCCTCCCCCGCCCCTGCTGCGTGTGTGCGCGGACGGCGCCCGTCAGTCCCCGAGCCGCCCCCGGCCCGCGCCCGCCTCCATCAGCACCGGCGGCAGCAGCAGCGGCGGCGGCGGCCGCAGCAACAACCTGCCCTCGCCATGTTGGAAGGAAGCGACGTCAGGGCCGCAGCCGGAGCGGGAGGAAGCGGCGGCCGGGTCCCGGGAGGGAGGGCGGGCAGAGGGAAGCGAGAAGGCGGGGGGCACTCGCCTTCTGCCCGCCCCGCGGCCGCGCTACAGGTGGAGCGGGTCCGCGGGAGGCAGGGGAGAGGGCGGCACGGAGATGGCTGCTGCCACCTGGGAGCTGGATGAGGAGGAGGGGCAGGACTTCCCTTCCGGGCCACCAGCTCTAGGAGGAGGGGGAGAAGGAGGAGGAGAAGGAGGAGGAAGAAGAAGAAGGTTCTCCCGGGATGCGACACCTTCCCCTGAAGGGCGGACTCCTCCGGGGCTGGATCAAGGGAGCTCCCTCGCAGCGGAGCTGCCGCCCTTCCCCGGCCGCCGCCTCCCGTGACGAGGAGCGCCCGTGGCTCCGGCTCCCGGGGGCAGCCAGCGCGGAGCAGCCCCCGCCGCCCCGGGAGGGAGGAACGCTTTGGGTTGCGGGACGTGTCCGGGCTTCCCGGGGCGTTCCTTCAGCCTCCTCCCGCTCACAGGGTTTGGGCTTCGTCTCCGCCTCGTCCTGTGGCCGCCTGCCCGCACTTCTCCTCGGCCGGAGATGAGCGCTGCACCTGCAGTTTCACATGGTGCCCTTTTCCTATCACCTGCATCCTCTGCCTTTAATATGCTGTCATCCGACGCTTCTTCCCATTGCATGTGCACTAGGAATACAAAGCAAAAAAAGAAAACAAAACAAACAACCAAACAACCAAACCCTTGGCTTACAACTAAACAGTGCCTTTCAATAAATTGTCGGAAATTTTTATAAAATTATGGGGAGAGGGGGTTGTTGTTATGTTTTGGTTTGGGTGGGGTTTTTTTGCTTGCATTCTTTGGCCCTTTTTCCTCCCAGACTGTAAAAGCATAATCTCCTCATGCTTGGTTTGGAGCCAAGAAAAGCTCAGGTCAAAGCTGGCTAACTGCAAAAACATCATAAGGGCCAGCTTTTGCACTCAGAGGTAGTACACCAGTATTTAAAAGTAGAATTTGGCATGAACTGAATCCAGCTCTGGTTTGAAAAATTTTTACCTGATTTAAAAAAAAAAAAATTAATCTGGAAATGGAAGGACAGAATTTCTACATATACCTTTTAGTCAGAGCAGGACAAGGCTATAGCATCAGTGTGCAGAAAGCAGAGATGGTTGTGGAAACCAGAGGCCATCTCTGACTTTGGAGAACATAGAGCCAGCACACAGGTAAAAGATAATTCCCAACTAACTTTCCCAGTCTGTTCTCTATTCCTGTGGTCCTGCTCCATCAGTCAGGAACACAGCCTTCCAAAGTTAGTCCCCATCCTTTCCTTATTGAGAATTTGAGAGAGATTGCCCAGCCTGTCATGCCTCCATGCTAAGGCCTTGTAAGCAAATCAGCCAGTTCATTTGAACACCTGTTTCTTTGTCTACATCGGAGCAGTTGTAGCTGTATTCGTAAAGGTATAGTAATCCCAGCCTCCTAATGAAGAGGCAGCTAATGTTGCCCAGTGTGGCTTTAACCGGTTTCCCTAATGAAAAATTACTTGTGTCAAAATTACTTGTTGCCTCATCAGTACCTATATTTGGACTTTTTAAGGAATACCCTGGCACAGGGAGTTCACTAAAGCTATAGCTGAATGGTAGGCCTGAATGTTAGGGCAAAATGCGTGTTCTGCTGAAATTACTTTATTTGTACCAGTGGCTTTTTCTGGTCACTGTCAGAACCCTCAGGCTATTTTACTTGCCAAATGATAAACAATACAGAAAATATTAGGAGGAAATTATGTGAATTTAGCATTATAACAGCTTTGTGAGAGAGTTAGAAGTCACATCACCGAGCACATTGATTGATTCTTGAAATAAATACACAAGGTTTTAAATTACCATATTCAGATTGTGTTGGTTTATTCAAAAGACTGTGTCTTCAGCAGCACAATTGCTAAACATACTGGAATTATTTCTAGTAATTTATTTAGCAAAACCATTTTGCCTGTTGGTTAAGTATAAAATTTTTTTTAAGTACAGATGCAAGTTCAGAAATGCCGATGTCAAAATAACTGGTCTTTCAAAGCTGCGCGCTAGTGACTATGTGGCAAGCGTAAGAATTATCATGGAATTCTTGCTGGTAGTTTTGCACAAACCACTTTAGTCCAAATTTCCTTAGCTAAGTCAGAGCTTGCAAGTGTTATTTAGTAAATGGAGTTTGCTATTGATTTTCACAGTCCATTTAGCAGAAATAGACTTGCAATATCATGAAGACAATGGGTATCTGTACATGAAGAGCACTGAGCACTGCAGTTATCTGTTTTGTTCATATTAATGTCTCTTTTCATGTTCTGTACATAAGGTAGTTTTACATGTAAAATATGTTTTAGTTGAGCATACAAAATTGCTGCTGAAGAATCAAACTACTGGAGAAAAACACCTGTCAAAAAGAGACTCAGTTTCATGTCTGTTATTCCTGCTCTAATATGAATAGACTAAACCGCTTGTTTTGGTTGGGGTATTTTTTAATGTGGTTTGAATTTTGAGTTTCTGTTGTCAGGTTCAAACATCTGCTGCTCTGTTGACTCAGTTTATAGCTCGGCACAGCTGGATATCTACATCTACATGCTAATCATAAGGTAATCACTATCCAAACCTCGCAACAGTGTGAAGCTTGTGCTGAAGGATTGCTCTGAAATTGCACAGGAAGATCTTGTAAATCCCCTGTCCAGTAGGTCAACATCTAATTTCCTTCCAAGAGTTGCGTCAATAAGGATGGAAATCACAGGGCAACTATGATATAAGCATTGGAGATAAAAAGACAGTCCCATGTCCTCATTTAGGGCCAAACTATGAATGGTGATCAGCTTGAGTGCTGTGTCCCAATGCTTTGAATAGTCAGTTGCTACGCAGCTTTATGTGCTAGGTGAGTCAGGTATTAAAATAATGTTTGGTCAATTATAACAATCATATGTCACTGAGGAAGCATTTTGAGGGCAGATTTTGTTACAGAGACTTATAGGCCATAAGGAACGTTTGTGATACTTTGCTGATTACTTTAAAAGCTAGTGGTTTATCTCTAGTGCAAGGAGAATAAGAAAACTCAGGAGAAAGCAAAGGTGAAGATTTAGAATATTTATCTTACATGGATTCCTAACTAAAGACAGAATTACAGAATCATTCAGGTTGGAAACAACCTTTAAGGGCATTGAGTCCATCTGTAAATCAAGCACTGCTGAATCCATTACTAAACTGTCCCTAAGTGCCACATCTACGTGGCTTTTAAATAAATACTGGTAATTGGCATCAGTAAACATCTGACCCAAGGACTGTAATTCTCATAGCTGCAGAGATCCCTTTTTGGTTGCTGGTGAGGTCCTGAAGCTGTGGAAAAGAACTGGTAATTGTTTTTTCTGCTCAAACCACTAAGTGTTGCTGGCAATATGTATGAAATATTATATTGTCCAATCAAACCTGAGAAATGTTTTGTGGCCAACCAAGAATAAACATGTTGGTATGTATGTGCTAAAGCACAAAAGCATTACTGCTTTTTGGAGCCTTTACATTTAAACATAGAGCAGCACAAGAGAAAAAATGTATTTGAGAAACACTGCAAAAAAATATCATCTAGTACATTTTTATTTACAAGTTAATTGGAATATTCCAAAAGCCATTTATATTGTTTCATATATTTAAACTGTTTTCAGTGAGTGTTAGGTACTTGCTTAGTAAAAAACTGTAGAGAACTTTCCATGTGAGAGGGAACAATTAGCACCTGCTTCTGATGGGTTTATGTACCACAATTGTATGTAGAGCTTGTTTGAAAATGCTGAAAACTAGGACTTTAGAGCCTTTGCTTAAAAGTCACATGGGCAGTAAAAGGGTGTAGTAAAAGTGCAGTCTCATGCTTGAAACAATCTGATGATTTTCAGCTGTTCAGCCTCCCAAAGGGAACTCTTTCACCTATATGAGCTCTCAACCCCTTTATTGTGTTGGTCCAGCTGAGCAACTTTGCAGTCTGTGGTCCAGCCAAAAGTCAGCCTTATAAGGAAGGTAGTTTTCAGTGGGATTAGTGAATTGATCAGACTTACCTGCATGTTCAGTAAATCGTATAGAAGAAAGGGAGTGGGGAATGTAGGTAATGAGGAAGGCTGGTCTGCTGCTCATGGTGGTATTGCCTTCTTAAATCATCTTGATGAGCTTTGAAACAGCACAGTAATGTTAGATTGATCATTTTAAGCTAGAATAAGACAGAACTGCCACTAAAGGATGCAATCCTTCCATGCAATCCTGTTTCTTGCTTCCTTGGTCAGCATCAGCGTTCGCGTTGCATGTTGTGAATTATATGATGAATTATATTCAGAATGTAATTACATTGAAATTAACCTGACAAGAAACAGAGTATTTTTTAATCCAGATATATTCCATATCCTGATTCATCAGGCAACCTCAAAGATGTTTGTGTTAGCTCAAGTGCGAGGATAACACAAGAACAGAAACAAGAAAACAGGTAAGACAAGGGCAGGCTAGCTTTTCTTTTTTGCAACAGTATTAGTTTGTGTCAACTTAAGTATTGTTTAACTACTACTTTCAATATAAATTTTCTTG